TGCACGCATTCTGATTGGTACTCACTTATGATCTATTGGAGGACAGAAGTATAGATGACGTCATCATTAAAACTTTTTTAAATTCTTTATTATATAAAACAAATAGATTCCAAGTTGCCGTGCGTCTGTTACCGCGGGTAACATTTGTATGTCATGTATGCCAAAGTGAAATGTTCTGTAATTTCCGTGAAGCTTATATGGGTTCTATAGCCCTAGATGCCAGAGCCGCGACAAAAATGGCGACAGAGCCACAGGCGAAGAAAAACTCGCGTGGAGTTAAAGTTAGTAGAATCTTCGTTCGTTATATAACTTTGAGCGATTGAATAATTTATATGCAAAATTTGCTATTTTTCGTTTTGGTGGGATAGTCTTCCTGCAATTTTTGAAAAATTCGTAGGATGTACTTCTTCAGCAAATTTCACCAACACTGTCTACAGTAGGTACAACTAGCTGTACATATTGTAGACAGTGTAGATAGCTGTACTTATTGTAGACAGTGTAGATAGTTTTACCCATTGACAGTGTAGATAGCTGTACCTATTGCAGACAGTGTAGACAACTGTACCTACTGTAGACAGTGTAGACGGCTGTACCTACTGTAGACAGTGTAGATAGTTGTACCTATTGTTGACAGTGTAGATAGTTGTACCTACTATTGACAGTGAAGATAGTTGTACCTATTGTAGACAGTGTAGATAGTTGTGCCTGCTACAGACAGTGTAGATAGCTGTACCTATACTGTAGACAGTGTCGATGGATGTAGTTGTATCTACTGTGTAGATGGATGTACCTATTGCACCAGTTGACACAGTGCTATGTCTTACATAACAGTTCCAAAAATTGACACAACAATATAGCCTACATGAAGAAATTTTACAAAGTGACTATATGTTGTTCTACCTGACAGTATATACCAGAAGTTGGGAAATATTAACCCCATGTGTCCAGCTAGCCATTGGGCAATAAGTCGTACCAGCCTATAAGACAATAGTTAAATTTCTAGTCATTCTCTCAAATGGCTTCAGCAAACAGCCAGTGGTCTGCCACCAGTTAAACTCAATCTTAGCTCACCAGAAATCTGAATTATACAATGACTAGGTAAGCTTCAGAAACATTTCAGCTTTACTAAGTCCAGTGGGAAATCAATATTTAGTGTGTCAGTTTAGAAGGGTGAAATATATTTGGAATGCTTATATTATGAATGAAATTCTAGTGTACTGGTAAATGATCATTCTAAATCTAACTTCATTCAATCTACTAGCTTGCCTGCTTTTGCATAGAGTTTTAGTTCTCTGCTATGAAATTTCAGATGTAAATACTAAATCTCAACTCAAACCTCGGTCAAATTTGAATTCTGCATTATCATGATGTAATTCATGTTGATTTCGTACTCCAGCTGTTCGAGATCTTTATGATTAGTGCCACTTCTTTCTCTTCCCTTTGTATCAAGAGTGGAGGAAGTTCCATAATTGTGTCAAAAAGACAAAAAAGGGAAATATTTGTCTATTATTGAAGCCTTTTTGTCAAGCAGAAACCTGCAGATGTGAAACTACTATACACTTAATGCAGGGTTCTCACTTGAAACAGGTTGTTTTTAATTCCACAAAATGAGTTGATTTTCAGACCCTCATTGAAGGCGAGTGAATTATCATCAGTTTTCAAATCTCTCTTACTCAAGAAGATAGTACAAAATTTTCCCACCAGATTCCACATTCAATTGATTTAAAGTGGAATGTTGTTTAGTGTGAAAGTATAAATTAGGTTTGTTTTTTTAAGATAGAAACAAGATAAAATTCTGTCAATTTATAAGACATGTTCGACAATAGTTACACATCTATTTAATGAACTTCAAGGTTGGATGAACAGCTTTAAATACAACAGCAAGTCTTCATTTATTTTTAGTTTAGTTAAAGTTATCTTAACCTGAATATATTCCTTTCACCCTCTTTAAAATCACTGCTAAACTATTTCTTCTAGGGAAGGAGTTGTCCTTACATTTTGAATCCTCTTTTGGATATCTCTGCCACTGTTGATAAAGATCTCTAATACAAGTAAGTTGTATGAGTTTACTACTTTGTATAGAACCAGAAATGATGTCCCTTTACTTGAGTGTTACTGCAGCTTGGTGAAACATTAAGATGGAGTACACTTTTCAACACCTATCATTTAAAAAGGCTTTGGATTAAAGTGGGGAGACGCATCCATCTGATCTATATTCAGTACTCTTGTTTGAGCATTTTAACCCTGTAACTCGCAAAGGTGATTAGCATGTAAATTCTCCTTATAATAGTCATACAGCATCCAGCAAACAAGTAATGAGAAAACTCAAACTTGTCAGGTGGAAGTTATCTTGATCTAACACCAAATTCTTATAACTAATTTACAAGGAAATGTATATCAGCTAGAGGGGGGAGAATTAACAATTAGATCTTAGGAGGTAAAGGGTTAAATATAACCACTGAATTTCCTTTTGTTCATTCAAATTTGATTTTGATGCAAATGCTGTTTTTAATAGGAAACCAAATGGTTCCTATCTGTAAGTCCAACCCAATCAGATTTAATTTTAAGACTTTAAATCAGGCATGAGTCTGACCAACTAAGAAATAAAAATTTATCAATGGTTACATTTGATTTTTGCCTTATTACTTTTTTCACATTATGATAGTTTTTTCTTTCTGTTCTTGTATTTACAGGTTTAGACATGAAGCTAACAATGCTATTTTGGTAGAAGAAAAACACATACCAATGTTAGCTTAGATTAGAGTTTTATGCTTATTGCACATCGTTCAGATGAGGTGTAGTGATTGTTAATTTTGAAAAAATAACAATCACTAACAGTTAAGACTGTTTCAATAATTGCAAACACTTCATTTCAGTTATCAAGAAATGACAGAGAAATTCAATGCAGAGTTCATTCCTGGTGGAGCTGCAGAAAACATGATTCGAGTTACCCACGTAGCCAAGGAAATAACCTAAACAGGGATAGAGGCTGTGGTTTTTACTCAGAGCAGAGTAAAATCTCTTACACCATTACACTTTGATTAAAATCAGATTTTTCGCAAGCAATCACAATGCCTACAATTTGTTCATAAAACCAATAAGCACAATGTAATTATGTACATGTAAGAAACCTGTTTCAGTTCATTCTGTCCTGAGAAAAAGTAAATTGATATTTTTATGTATTCCTATATTATAGCAAGCTAGACCAATTTATACCTGAAAAACATTACAGTTTAGATTGATTACAAAAAACAAAGCAAATAAAAGAAAAGAAGTAAGTGAAGGAAGTGTTTCTTTATTATGAGAATACTGGTTTCCACAAAGTAGTGTACATTCAAAAGTTACTGAAAGGGTTGTTTTTGAGTATGGAATTACAGAATTAATGTGAGATGAAATAATTTGATGTTTGGAAAACCCTGCATACATCTGAACTAATCCTTTTGCCATGTTGGGTAGTTTTGTTTGGTTGTGGGTGAATGGCTGCTGTCAGGTAATTTATGACATTGTATCACTGACTTGTAACCCCATGCTACTAAATCTAAAGACAAACTGCAGTTTGTAAGTAAATGCTGCTGGTTCAATGGTTAATATAACCCAATAATTATGCTTAATAACAAGGCAGTGTTTGACCATTGCAGTGGCTTTTAGGAAAGGATGGCAAAAATACATCTTATATTGGCTGTGTAGGTGAGTTTGAAGTTTCTATTTAGTTTTATACTCAGGGTTTTTTCCAGGGAGTGACTAAGACTGAATTTGAGAAAAGGAAACAATCAAAAAATGGATATAGTCTGATTTAACACCCAATTCTAAGTGCAAAATTAAATGAAATGTATAGCAGACAGTGAAGAGAATTGAAATTTAGATCATGGAAGTGAAAGGATTAAAACACACAAGACCTTTTTTCATACAAGGTGTTCAATACACTCTGTTTAGCCAAGAGATGGATGCACATTTTACTTGTGCTTTGATATAGACTAATTAATTTTGTCCATTCAAGGATAATTTTGTGTGGGTATTTAATTAAACTGAGGTTAACTGTGGTCAACTTCAGAAAGCTGTGAACACCTGAAACATCTCTGAGATGTCCATTATGTTATGACTAATAATAGAAGAAAAGTGAGCAAACTATCCATACATTATCCAGAAAACAGTAAATGAGAATATTCAAAAAAATGATTCATCAAATATATTTGCTGGTATGCAATTGGTCCAAATGCATCACGTGACCAAATATCTCCCAGCTAAGAGTGGGTGATACCCAAGGATATCACTCATTAGACAACTGATATTCCCCAATTTTAAATCCTTACATCCACTATGATAAGTCTTTTTTTATAATTTAATTCAAGGTGAGAAAGAGTTTTCTGGTTGTTACAGAAGAGGGAAATATTAGTTTGTTCATAAAGTTGTAGCAGAGAGCAACCAAAAGAAAACATCCCATGTACTTACCAATAAGCTACTTTAGACGCACATTTCAAAATATTTGAAGGATATTAAACACAATAGCCTCTATTTGGTGTGAAATATGCTTGTATATTTGTCCTCAGACATTATCTGCTCTCAAATCTCACAGTTCTCCTTTGCTCTTGGAAAACTGTTCACATCTTGGAGCACAGAATGTCTGCAGACAAATATCTGTGTATATTTTTGCATCAAATAGAGGCTACTGTGTATTTCTTATACCCGTATTAAACAAATTTTCATACAACAAACTTAATGTCTAGCTAGACAATATGATATCTGTGATCCACAAAAAATTTATCATTTACCCAGAAGGTCTCAATGTGATGATGGCTTTTACTACTTGTGGTTAAAATTTTGGTCATTTTACAGCTATCAGTTCATTTCTTTCCGTCAAAGTTTGCAAAACTATTTTCATGCTTAACTTTTTTTTTTACAACTCGAGGGTAAAGCATGTCAAGTTTTAGGTCTAATAGCCTGATTGTTTTTGCCATTTTTCCGCTAATGATTAACCCCATTGAGGCCCTCTACGAATGACTTCAATTATACTTAACCTTCACATAATTCTGTGTTGTAAAATTATTTGCAACATCTTTCATATATAAAGGATGAAACCATTCATATAGTGAATGGTATAGGCCTAGAGTGAAGTTTGTGCTTTTCCTAATGGCCACATTAAATAAGTTATGCAACTGGTTCTAGGCATGATTTAACTGTTTTTCAATGACAATGAGTGACCAAGACATAGGTTTTCCCTACAATATCAATACAATATGAAGCAGACAAGTGATGACAATAAAGAAAATTAAAGGATTATTAGTTCAATCAACAACAACTTTTCCAAACTAACATGACAAGAGTTGTATGGGGGCAGTAAGGAGAATTGCTAGTAAGAGCTTGGGAGTAAAAGGGTTAAGTAACAAACACCTCAAAAAGATTAACAACTCCTGTAAGCAAATACTAAGCCAGGGTCCCATGAATTGAAAAATATATACTGTTTTAAGCTTTTATAAAACAGTGACTAGCTTATACTTTCTGTAGTGTCTGAGACAAGAGTGCCGATTTGACTGCATCTTTTAAACACATTCTAATATTTTCATAGTGCTAAACTGCAGTTTTACAAAGAAATCCTCCAATACTTAGATGAAATAACATCCAGCCAGCATCAGGCAAGATAAAACATCCATGAACTACTTGAAGAAGTTTTGGCTTCTCATCTGATTGGCTGATTAAAACCAATTCACAAAACAGAAAACCAAACTGCACCAGTTAAAATCATAATATCTATCCAGTCAGGTCAACTCTCATACCTTGCCCCAGACCTGAACAGTAACTCTGCTCAGATGGTTGGGTAAAAAAATTCAGCTTTAAACATTGGTGCGAAGTCAGCATATTCGAAGTTTGGAGGGTAATTCTGCTTCATATATTTCAACTTGGTTTGGTATCTGTTCTTCTTTCCACCGGTACCAGGATCAGTCAGATCCATAACTTGGTACTGATTATACTCCCCAGTGAATGAATACACCAAACTTAGCCTCGTCGTACCAAGCGGGGAGGGGATGAGAGTCCAATGACCTCCAAGTTGGTTTGTATTGAGCTGAACCGTAATTCAAAGAAAGAAGAAGGATACAACAAACAGTAAGACAATGCGTCATGTCTGATTTCAATTCCGTCCAATTTCAGCCTGTTTGGATGCGGAATGCAACACTTACTCTAGATCTTGAAAGATTTTAAAATCAAATTAAAGCGGTCCGAAGCAGCTTCGATTGATTTTTCCTAAGGAATCTGCACAACGAAGAGACCGCCAAAAGGGATTTTACATCTTAGGATTTCCTCCAAATTTAGGCATAAAGAGTAAATAAAAACACTAACCAAAATAAGGCTTACCAACCACCATCTGAGACGAGCAAGAGCAAAATGAATGACCAGGTACATTGAAATTGAACGTTTCCAATGACAATTCCGGTGCAGGTGGTCTCTGTTTCCCGTAATAGTACATCCTCCTCAGGAGAATTGTCTCCCAAAAACTAGCGAAGCATTCTTCTCTGTTGTGTTCTTTACAAAAGTAAATGGAAACTACGGAATTCTACAAAAGCTTTCCACATTCCTTTTTACTAGTTTCAAGTCTCCATCCAACTTGTTGGTAAACGTCTTCTACTACCTTCAACACCTACCCCACCCCTACGACTTACGGTAAAGTACATTCTAAAAATGTCAATCAAACGCTGGTCAGTGAGGATCAGATGCATAACACGCTGCCAATGCCGTCGTGGTGGAAAAGGACTCTCTTTAAGCGAATATCGAAATATCTTATACTAAATGGACAAGGATCAATCGGCTTCTATGAAAACTATAAAGTTCCAGGAATTCTGTCTTTGAAGAACACAAAAAAACGGTTGATCGCAACCAAACGTTATTGAAGTTTTGGACTGCTGTAGGTGAGTAGAATTCATGAGGTAAGCTGAAAAGGTCAAGATCAGTTCTGGATCTCGTTTTCTGTACTTATATGTCAAAAGGATTCGATTATTTTTATCATTACTTTATCATCTAGAACTCGGCCGCACAGTGGATTAAACAGTCTTTGCGACGGGAAAACTTTTCTTAAAAACTAACAGGTAAGTTTCCAAACGTGCAATATTGTGTGTGAATTCGTACCAAAAGGAGTTCAAATTAATGCTTTTGAATTCAATTTTAATCATTCGTGATTATTTTTAACTATCAGAAACTTGCTCAGGTGTTGATGTAAATAGTTTTGAGAGAGTGGAAACGCTCTCTATAATATTTTTCAAAGAAGCGGCGGTGGAATTAGGGCACCACGTTGTTGAGCGTAGACGCAGCCTTCATTGAGCGCAAGCACAGCGCAGACACCTCGCCGAAGTTAGTCATTCAACAGTTGTCGTTTTTCCACTTAAAAGCCGTCTTATCGCAAGTTTACTTTAGCAAATTAATTTATGACTTTTAGTGTATGAAATGTGTTTGATTTATGGCCCAAAACTCAATTATGATCAAGAATAATTTTCGAGAAGATAACTAACAGAAGTCGTAACTGACGTTTGTATTGATTCAAACTGCTGTATGATTCGAAAGGGTTTTCTGATAAATCTTCTCGAAGTATAAAAAGATGAATTTAAATATTTTTCACTTCAATCAAAGAAACAGCGATTTAATTTGTTAGCTAGAATTTTTAGCCTAATTCTCGCCCATAAGTGTTTTAAAGTTATTTTCCGTACAAATGGTGTCGTTTAACGACCAGTTGCGGCTTTTCCACTGATTAGCTGAGTGCGGATATTTTAAGCATATGTCGCTAAAGGTTGTTTGGTGATCAGAAATCTGTTACGAAAGCTTAAAAATTTTCTCATCCGGAAGATGATTTCTAGAATCTAAAAGGCTAACCAATCGAGAAAGTTGAATACGATTGCCTAAATCCGCGTAAAATATATAGTCTTCAGTCACATGCAGTTTACATGTAACAAGACTGACATGGAAATGCATACAACTACTTTGTAAGACTTAAGTTCATGGCTGACCCAACTGCCTTAACAAAAAAATCTGACTTTTATTTAGATTCCAAGAAAGCACTTAAGTTTTCTTAAATCTGTTTTCTTTCTAGGAAGTACTGAAATAATTCCGTCGAATTGTTCGATAAGTTTAAGCTTATAGAATAAAGTACAAAATGTATTTAACGAGTTTATCTAAGTAGTTCCTTTGATCGGATGTAGTAAACGAAAATTCAATTTCCTTGTACCTTCTGCACTGTGCGTTTTGCCGTAAGACAATGCACTTGGTGTGGCGTTGGGTTGCTCTTGTGTATGGCAAACACCTTACAACCGTTTTACAACCGTTAGAAACATATCTTAAGTTGTTTTGAAATTAAGACCTTGAATTAATAATTGCTCTGATTTCAGTTTTCTTCAGTTTCCTTTCAAAATGTCCCAGAATATATGTTTTGGCCAAATAAGAATTTGAAAGGCAAACAATGAACTTTAAATATTTGAGTTATTCAATCTCTTACGATGAAAGGTAGGAAATGAATGATTGTACTCTTCTTTCAAAGTTCTATTTTAACATAAAGAGGTGAAACTTCCCCAGAAGCTTATCTGTTGAAAAAATATAACCAGTCACCCTACTCGCCTGAAATGAAAACTGCTTAATAAGAGAAACCGTCTACAAATCTATTGTCAAATGGTTTATCTTGATTTTATACTTGTACTTTTCAAGGCTAACCAAGACGACTATTGAGACAAGTCGCCCTTAAATACCTCAGAAACAAAGCGACGGTGATGGACTGTTACGAAGATAAGGCGTCAGACGGGACTCACGGTGTGAGCCAAACGGGACTCAAATCGTTTGAAACAGGAAACATGGACGGCAAGGAACAAGCCTCTGCTTCAAGTCAGGAACAGGAAATGACCACTAGCCAAATTAATTTGCGTATTCCCTCAGACTTTTCGCTTAATGAGCCATTAGTTTTTGGATTACTTCCTTTCGAGCAACAGTCTCGATACGCAAGGATATCGCCAGTTTCGTCTGCATCAAGAACAACCTCCTCCTGCTACCCTGATGGGCCAATTGGGCCAATTACCGCCCATAATCTCGAGCCAGAAGCACCTCCGTTTATGGAAATAATGTCGTCACGTTCATACGCTAACCACGACATCTTGAGTAGTCAGCGCTTCCAAAACCAGATTCTAACACCTTCCACAAGGTCTTCTTCATTCATGGAAAGACATACTTCTCAAAGTAATCCCTACACTTTCCACGGGAGAGGTAAGAACAGCGAGGTCGTTTGGTGCAGTAGCAAAATGAAAATCCCTCGGTATGTGTTTCATCCGAACGAAGCACTGCGACCACCGCACCAGTTCGTCAATTCAAACAACTCGTTCCACCCTGATGATCCTTTGAACTGCAATGGTACTAAGAGGTCCGATGGTCCAGAGGAGGCTGAAAGCAGTAGCAACATGCTTCGGTCAGACTTCAGACTGAATAACCAGAGTGAATACGGCAGCCGATTGCAGGAGGAAACTGCTATGAGATGGAATGGAAATTACGCAGCTTTGTTTTTAAACCAGATGGCACATTCAGTGAATAGGAACATAGCTTTTAATAACAACCCCTTCCGTTACATAGCGATGGAGAATCAAGGTGAAGATCGCACAAATAATGATACCCTCTGTGAAGTACCATCGCTAGGAGACGGACAACCACTCCTTCCTACACTGAATACGTGTGGTGTACAGGCCCAGAGGGGAAGCAGTTCAAACGCAGCTCTCAATGGTACCTTCCATAATTTCACTTTACAATGCCCCACCCAAGCTGGTATGTTCACTCAGAACGCCAGTCCCTCCCACGCAGATACTGGAGCGACAAACTTTGCACCGTATCCTTTACCTATTCAGCAATCTGTGCCCTTCTCTCCAATTCTCAAGGCTATGGGTCCAGTCCATTTAGGTGAAGATTCGAGGGAAAGGATCAACGAAGAGGCAATATCACATCCGCCCTTCTCAACAACCAATCGATGTAGTTTTACACCAGTAAGATATGCACTTAATCACGTGCCTCTCTTGAGCTTTCCACGTGGGGCAGGTTACGAGGCCCCCGTTTCGTTTGCTTCTAAAACAATTCCTCTTCTTCATTATCCAGACCCACGAGCCATGTTTCGCGAAGCAAACCTGTTGACTCTTGACCAACCCCATGAGGGTTATGTCGTTCCTAACGAAACAGTGGGGAGTGGTGCTCTAAAACCCTCCTCCACCCCAGAAGAAACATCTGCCCAAAACGAGACTCTGTCAGAGAAACAAGGTACTACGACAAGTGTTTCTCACAAAAGAAGCCGTCAGACGCGCCAATGTAATATTTGTCTTAAAGTCTGCGCGGGTGCCTCGTCTCTTAAGGTTCATCTTCGAACACATACAGGAGAAAAACCTTTTTCATGCAAGGTCTGCCAAAGGACGTTTGCACAAGCCGGGGGACTGAAATCGCATTTGCGCAGCCACACAGGAGAGCGTCCTTACAAGTGTGATGTCTGCAACAAGTTCTTCACCCATTCCACGGCTGTCAACAATCACAAGCGTACGCACACAGGAGAAAAACCATTTGTATGCGACCACAAAGGATGCAATAAAAAATTTGCTGATCGATCAACTCTTACAAAGCATAATAGAGTCCATACTGGGGAGAGACCATTCGAATGTCCGCACTGCAAAAGGAAATTTACGCAGCTCGGGAATATGAACAAACATTTAAGGTGCAAACACATTGACAAGAAGAAATGAGTAGTTTCGCAGTAATTATAATGCCATCATTACCAAGGCATCTTCTGCATAGCCTTCGGTTCTCATTGAGTTTAGTGGTTAAAGACTGCTACGTAGGCTATTTTTTCCTTAGTGTCGTAGGTTTTCATTACAGGCTTTCGTTTATCACAATAATTCATTAGGACTTTTTAAAATGGTTCACTACACTTCATGCCCTGAGGGTTATGTTTTATGGGGTCACTAGTATAAAACTAATTGCAGGCAAGGCTCTCCTGGTGAAAGGAAGATAATTTGACTGTGAGGCTTTTTAGTCTGACGCTATGATACTAGTCCTTGAATAACAGGCTCGGACATCACTGAAACTAGATAACAATAATGCCACAAATAGCCAAGAAAATCTTTGTTGCTAAGATTGCTTATAGTGGATACGTGCGACTGGCACTCTCGAGCTTCAGAATCACTGAGGGGCGTGCTTTTTTTGTGTCAGTGGTCTCGTCTCCAGTAATTTTATCTAACGAGGGGGTCACATGAGTGCGAGGTGTGATGTTGGGTCTGTAAAAATCGTCCATCATTCTTTTCTCCGCATTTCACTCTAGTAGCACAAGCATGATGAAGAAGACTGAGTACGACACAACGGCTGTGGTAGGCGACAGGGAGTCTTAAGAAAATTGAACGGTTCGTTCGAAAATTACCAAGAATCCCTGAGGTGTCTCCCAATGGCTATTTACACGGGCAAAAAAAATCTATTTTGACTTCGAAGATTTAAGTCAAGAGACAAACAGCCTCACCTTTAGGTTGTCTTGTTCCGTAGTTTAATACACTACAGTTACAAGTTAGAAATAACACGTTCTTCACTTGACTCAGTGTAGTATCGAGACATAGCCGCTTTAAAAAAGTGAAGACCATAGTGGATTCAAAATAGTCTTTAATGTTGAGTTTTAGTGTAAGTTATTACAAAAGTTGAGTTTCTATAAAAATTTCAGGAGTAGGTAGCTATTTCATAAAAAAATAAATTGTAACCTTGATGTAATTAGGCATGTTCGCACGTAGTATAAGTAAATAAGTAAAACTAAGTAAGTATAAGTTATCTGTGATACTATAATAAAATAGAGGGATCTTAAGTTAAAATTGTCTCAGTTATTTCCTACCCGTCCTTACCAGTTAGTTCAACCCTTTTGAATCACGGGAGAAATTAATTAGCCTCAGTAGGATCGGGATAAAAAAATCATTAAGGTACCGTTATCTTGAATTAACACCAAATTATACGAAGTAATATTTGGAATCCATGTTTGGAGATCGGAGGAGAGTAACCTTTGAATCTTAGGAGAGCTAAGATAAAACAGGACTCACCGAAATTTTTATAACCAAGAGCCCTGAATGGGTGTAATTGAGATTCGAATTTGCACTTCTTTCTCTCAATACAATTTCCAAACAAACCTTCCAAGAAAAGACTTCACGTATGAATCAACCATTCTTTGCTTGCTTTGCAAATCTCAAATACTGGCGCATCCACATCTACAAGTTGAGTGGGGCTTTATTTTTTCTTCATTGACGGTGAGCTCAATATAGCGGGAAATGGTGGGGTGGGGGTGGGGAAGGGTACGGCTAAGAACTTTGAGAAACCACTACAAATCGATACAGTAATTGACAGTTGAAAAAGTTCGACAAGTGAGTGAGGCTGAGTAGGTAACTACTCAGATAAGATTACTTACAATTGGATCTTAGAATGGCCAGAATCAAACAATAACCAGCTGTTATTTCCTGCTTTAAGTATATGATAAACTACTTAAACGTTGAGCCTGGACAGCCCTGATCGGTCGTCATTGAGGTCAAACCCTATGCTTATTTTTCTACATACATATTCTAAAGAAAAAAATTCACCTTGAATTCGAAAAAGGCTACAATCGCTTTTCAAAACATCCAGTCGCACACCTGGTTAACACTGTCTCTTTGCAATGCGCTCTTATCAAAATAATATCGTCTAATAAAAGCAATTCTGTGGTAGTATGCAATTTCTTAATATTTAATATCTTCTTCATTTTTTTCCTAATTCGCCATTACTGGTCACATGACTTTGTCAAGGCAGCGCGCGACCCAGAAATCAGGGCATAGTAACCACTGATCTTGATCACAGCACCAGTCCCTGCACGTTTGATTGCCTTTGTTTGTAAATCCTCCCGGCGGACATTATGCATATAAGGACCCCAGTACTGAGAAGTAAAGCACCAACAATTACCACTATTACGAAAACACCACTGTGGAACAGGTGAATTGAGACGAGGGCAGGCTTTTCGATTGGTAATAAATTTGTGGCGTTGATCATAAAACCGAGAGCCCAGCCGAGGGAAAGACGGTTAACCTGTAAGAAAAAAACATTCAATGAAATTGGGGAAATAAAGCTGACTAACCGATACGAGAAATCCTATCTCGGGGTTTCAGCTTAAGACAGAGGGCAGGGAAGGAGGGGTTCTCCCCTATGAAAATAAACTAGAACGACCAGGAACTTTATGATTGTCTTGCATGACAAAAGGGGGTAAAGTAGCTATGAGGGGAAATTAATCCCCACCCCCCCAGTCAGGGGGGTGGGGGTGAAGTTTTTCCCTAACATTTCTAATTCAAATTTGCACCACCAAATGACCACTACAACGCCAAAGACAAGATCAGAGGGATGTGTGCAATAAGGACGAAAACCTCTTCTAAAAGGTATACGAACTAATTTAAAAGGTGAAAAAATAATTCTCTTACTCACCGTGCCGACAAATTGCAATTTGGCTGTTGAATTCTCAAAGTGGTATCCACGTGAAAGTATCGTGTAGACATACTGTGCATCGAAGCAGTAAAACGGCAAGAACTGTGGATACTTAGTGGGGATAGTTTTAATCTACAGAAAAAAGAGAAGTATCTTATTTTACAGTGTGTAACAGGGTTATGTTTTTAGATAGTTGGTTCATCAGTAGTTTGTCTGAAGAGATGATCAACCGGCATGGTCCGTTGGTAAGTGGGTCAGTGAGTCTGTCAGTCAGCCCAACGGTTGGTCAGACAGTCAATAGGGCGGTCACTTCTCTCCATGTACGGCTCTAAACATTCTTGATGTTCTTTGCATTTAGATATCACATAAGCACTTTTGATAAAGGTCCATCTTGTTATAAAACTTTTTATAACACCATAACGAATGGCCGATGATCTGCTAAAAGAATGCTACAAAAGTACCAACGGTAGCGTTTGCGTTTTGGTCTCGACCACCTCGTGATATGGTCTGACGTCCTATCGCTTTCTTATTTTAGCAACATAGAACGTTTTTTGATTTCGTGTCGTAAAACTAAGACCATGCTGAGTTATAGAAACGGAAATACACAGCAAAGGAGAATATTATAATGACCTATGGAGGGCCACGAGAACTCAGCCGTGGGAACATATATAACTGATTCCAAGCGCGAGAAAATGCACAGGACCAAGTCGCAGATAGGTGAAAATATGTATCTGATAAATCAAAAAGAAATTTTTTTTTTTGGAACTGATGACAATGATAGAGAGCAGTGAAGGAACAGGAATGCAGTCTCTTGAACACTCGCTCAAAAACCGATCTTCTGCCCTATCTGTTGCTGTCAGATCTCCCAATTCCTGTCTGCTGTAGAGGTGCCTGCTCCTCTGAAAATGTTTTTCTTAAACGTTTATATACCACAGTGCTGTAAAGTGAAACATGAAAAGACCTACCTCATCCCAAGATTTCCCACAGACATTCTTTGCGGCGGCTTGTAGCTGATCAAGTGACGCGTTGCTTGTGAGATTGAGATCTTTAGTAACAGTGTAATAACCAGAGAATGCCTAAAAAATTATCAGGAAAATAACTTATCCGGGGCATTTAATTCAAAATACTGAAAAGGTAAGTGTTTACCAATATCAAAACAAACATAATCGTTATTGTTCAACTTGAACTTAAGTCGCTCACACGCTAATGATTACTTTCATAAATAGGACACGCAATGAGGACTTTCCTCTACAGTAAGAATTACAACATTTTTTCATTATGTGGCTCACTTTGGAAGCGGGCAAGGTGAATCGAATAGCGTGTTCTGATTGGCTACCCGAAACAGAAAGACGAAAGGAATACCTCGTCCTGATTGGCCACTCAAGACAGCAAGATAAAGGGTACACCGCGTCCGCAATGGCTAACCAAGCCCACAAGATGACGCGAATACCGTGTTCTTAATGGCTACCCGAGCCGGCAAGAAGAAGTATACACCACATCTGCATGGGCTACCCAAGCAAGCAATATGAAGCGGTTCCGTTTTCTGATTAGCTTCTCGAGCTAGCAAGATGAATGTAAGACCGTGTTTGGCTACCCGGACAGAGACGCAAAATGGAGCATCCTAAGTTATTTCAAAAAGGGAGTCCAGCAAATAAAACCACGAGTGCCTTGAACGTTATGAAATACATCCTTATATGATCACGCCTGTCCAGCCATAAAAACGCATTATGCATGAGGTCAATATGCATTATTAACCTCATGCTAGGTCAATAATGCATATATATTAGCCTCACAATCAGTAACGTACGAAGAGTGACAACATTGTACGATCCATAAAGAAAACACCATACGCAGCGCCCAGCGCAAGAAATCTCAGAGGAGCAAAGAAATGTCTGGTCTCCATTAGTTAGCAAAATAAATAACCAATAAATATTCAATGGTAAGCACTCCCAAACTTCCTTTGTTAGTGTGTTAGTTCGCATGCAGTAAAAAAGTGGAAATAGTTGACAATTTTTACCCATTTTTAATGCTCCTTCTTCAACGATTTTTGGGGAAAGTAAAGGCTGTTTGCATTGGAGTTTAAGTGAATATTTTACTTACAAAAAATTGTTTTCCATCCGTGGTTGGTTGATAAACACTATCAAATGAACAGCTGCTGTTGCCCTGACATGATGTAAAGTTGAAAAGTTTACTGACTTCTTTGGAACAAAGGGAGTAGTTCCCAGTTCCCATCAGAGTAAATGTAGTCTGGTTGGAGGTAAGTCCTTTCACACAAGGAGAACTCCTCAGATACGTGGATGTTATGTTCTGCATGTAGCCTTTGGGTCCACATGGGTTGTAAACTTTTGCAGTTGAGTTAGATTCCTTTCGACAAAAATGAGGAAACATGAGGCATTTGGAAATGGTAACTGCAAATCAAATACATTACCACCGAAGGTGAGGGAAATTTTTCCAACTGAGGAAACTCTACAAATCTTTGGGTGGGTGGGTGGGTGGGTGGGTGCTGATGGGACCCTTAGGAACCTGTTTTAAGTCTATGATAGAGCCCCTTCAGATTTAAGTTGGAGCCCTACCCTACCTGGGTAAAAAAATTTATATATTCTTTATCTAGGAAAAAAATCTCAAGGAAATGTTTTCCTCAAAACATGAGAAAACCCTTTGTCTCGCTTATAGCTGCAGATAGGAGTAACCCCTTGGAACTTAATCTCACTTTAACTGTACTTACTTTAACAAGTTGTGCATAAAATCTTCTCTCTGCCTCTTTTTTGCCATAACATAGGTAGCTGTGTGTATACAGCTGATACTTTGTCCCATACAATTTTAATTTACTAGAATGTTGAGCTGCTTTGGAGGAAGTAAATGTTATTTGTGTAGATGCACCTCCCATGTCCAAAGCTCCTATTGTTTCCTGTGAGTAATGGACAACATTTTGAATAATAAATTTACAAATAAATTTACATCATTACAGATGTGATTGGTAAAGCAGTGGTCTAACAATTAGTCCCTTAACCCTTTAACTCCCATGATTGACCTAGACAGAATTTCTCCTTACAATATCTGTACAATATTAAAAAGATAAGTGACGAGAATAAAGAAAAATATCAATTTGAGTATAATTAGATGATCCAATACTAAATTCTCTGAACTAACATTATAAGAATTGCATGGTTGACAGTAAAGAGAATAACAAATTCAAACAGGTCATTGTGTATAGTCTGCTTTAGCTTGCTGTCTTTATCTAACTTGATCTAAAGTTTAAGGAGGCAGGAAACAGTTTTCCAAGATATCTACCATCTTATTCTCTCTACTTGAAATACAACATATATACAACAATACAACTTTTTCTGACATTGAGACAATGTGAGTCGCATGAAGACACTAAGAAGTTGTATCTGGGATAAGCACCAATAGCTATGGCATTAACTGTAGTTAACAATTGATACAATTGAATCATTAACAATCATGATGATTATTGATGCATATTAAGTGAATACAAATAACAAAGAGATATATCTAACTAGCTCTGTAATATGCAAATTCTTAACTTCATTATTCACCACACACCTGTGAGGTATTAAAGTTACCATTTAGGTAATTGACAGTAACCCAGGAAGATAGTCCTTCTTCTTCACCACTGATGATACGGGCATAGTCATCTTCAAACATGAAGGGTGAGCTCTTCAATGTTTTTCGTACAGATGCAAGGATATTACTTGCTGCTGCAGGATTCATCTCCCTGAAAACGTGGCAGGTACATAATGTTTTTGAGTCAGTGTGAGTACATTGTACTCTGTTTGTAGTGGTTAAAGTGTTTGAAAAAAGACTGGGACATATCCACTTTGAAATCTACTTCTTGGTTTGAATTACTTCCTCCAATTGATGATGACACCCACAACACCCAATTTGCTAATGCTTCTTATTTTCCTAAATTTCCTCTTCAACTTCTCAGACATATAGCCATGAGTGAAACAGGTTGGAAGAGGATTACAACAATTGTACTACATCCTTTTTCTTTTTTGGGCCAAAAACTCAGAGTTATACAATAAGATTTACAGTCTAAGCAATAGTTAATGGAAAAAATTATTTAAGAACTGTGAGTATATACAGCTGGGTCAGTTACAGTCAAACCTTCATTGAGCAGACACCCACAGCAAATGATGGGGTGACTGCTCAATATAATTTGATTGCTAAATACAGGTTCCACAAAGTAGGAGTCATAAACACAGAATGAATTTTTTATGTAAGAAATTATGCTTAATTTTGTTAGAGTGGTTCAGCATTTCGTGAATGTTCATTACATGTGGAAGACAATAAAAACAGGTCATTGGGATGAAGTCAAGGGTGATCACCAAGGCTTAATAGAGGTGACCACTTAACCCTTTAACTCCCAGAGGTGATTCACATGTAACTTCTACCTGCAATATCCATCCACTATCCAACAAACAGGTAATGAGAGTACTCAAATGTATCAGGTAGAAGTTGTGATCTTGATCTAACAACAAATTCTTGCAATTAATTTACAAGGAAGTGTGTTACAGCTAGAGGGGAGAATTACAATCAGATCCTGTGAGTTAAAGAGTTAATAGCTCTAGGTAAAAATTACTGACAATAATTAAGGGGAGAAAATTGCAGGACTTTGAAAACTGACTGCTTAAAATGGAGTGACCACTTGATATGGAGTCACTTAATAAAGCTTCCCCTGTTTTATTATCTATTGATCATGTAAAGAATGTTTGAGCCCTTACTTAAGCAACCTCATGCCTGCAGTAGCTCCAAGGTAGATTGGTGACCTTTTTCGTAGGTAGGAAGGTATCAACTTCTTTGCTGTGTTTGTTATACAACCCTGTAGTGACTGTCCAGCCTCAGCTGGATCTGATACATAGCTTGATATTCCTGCCACATGATTATCTACAAAAGAAGGGAGCAGGAAATCATAGTGAACTTCAACCAACAGGAGTACACATTAACGATGACTTTTAAACCTTTAATTCCCAGATCAAATTTTTAATTCTCCTTACAGTCAACCATAGAATTCTTATAATGTTAGTTCAGAGAACTTGGTATTGGATCAACTAATTATCCCTCAATTCATATTTTTCTTTATTCTCATCACTTATCTGGTTGATATTGTATTGATATTGTAAAGAGAAATTCTGTCTTGGTCACTCACGGGAGCTAAAGCGATAATATCTGTTAAAGCTACAGTCTGGATAAAGAATAATTCTTATCAATAATACTAGCTTGGCAATCCTATACTTAACATATTATACTAACTTCTTTTCAGAGTAGCAAGCTGTAGAAAAGCAATGAACTCAGTATATAGCAGAGCATATCATTCATTGATTATCTGACAATGCTCTCCTATGTATACTTAAAAAAAAAAACTATTTGTCTGAATGCTCTAAATTGCCTAAATTTTTTTATAAGTTAGTAGGCATTTCATGTGAGGGGCTTCAATACATATGCACAATACATATTAATCTCCTACTCTTGAATTTATTTAAAAAACATTTTGTTTCCAGTAATAAGTGCTTTCATATTTACCTTTATCCTTAACAACACACTCTCCAATCTCCTCCACAAGTGCTGTGCCTTTCACAACATCATCAACTGTCCATTTGTAAACAAACATATTGGTATGTGTTGATCCTGCATCCAGTACAATGCCATACTAAAATCAAAAAGGAATTATTTATAAAAATTGAATTCATCAAACCTGCCAAAGGATTTCATTGACATTTGTTGTAGAAAGGCATGTATCAAATAAACTTTAGTTCTCTTTACCTCATTTTTGACCTTTGCCTTGTACACACTGATTACTGAAATACAACTGATTCCAAAGATGATCAGGAATGTTGCCACAATACAGCCAACCCAGTCTCGCACATGGCACACAGAACTCCTGACTGATGAAACATAGATCATATAAATTATGAAATCATCATCACCAGGGTATGACAGGGTCAGGATAGATCTGTCTTCCTTAATTCAATCATATCAGTTTAATAAAGGTGAACACCATAAAACTGTGTTTCTTACAAAGTGTAAAACACAGAAAAACCTTGTGGCATTGCACTATTATCCAATTTTCTTACAGGATTTAGGAAACTAAATCTAACAAAGGTATTTCATTTTTTTTGCCATTTTGTGTTGAATAATATCTAGCAAAATACTTATTTTGCCTAAGTTCTGGACTGGTTAATTTAACAACAGTCTTAACTTTGGATACCTTCTTTTAAAAAAAATTGGTACAAATTATCTTTATTCTTTTGCAATCCAATGACTTGACTGTTTGGTGACATCATATAAATAATTAACAATAAAAAATTACTCAGGTTACTAAAACATGGAAATATTACAATAATCACAGCGATGTACTGTAATAAAACTCAACAGTAAGATGCAAGATGACAAAGCTATAAAATTAGTTCTGATAGTAAATGCCACCTCAGGTGACATTTGAAAATAAAAGGCAAAGCTAGAAAAATTAATAGGGTAATTAAGTATTATCAACTGACCTGAGAACTGAGAACATAAATTGGCCACTGTAAATAGTTTTAAAGTTTGTGTTTTGCATGTTAGCCCTTTGTCAAAGCAAATGAAAAATGAATAACAATTTGCTATCAAGGAGGGCTAATGCTTAAAACGTCAGCTTTGAAACTCTTTACAGTGGCCAATTTATGTTATCAACTCAGTTGATAATACTAAATTACCCTGTTATACTCTCCCACTGACACAACACCACAGCTTCTTTAGAAACTTTCCCCCTTTACTCAGAAGAAAAAATTCAGTCTAATCTATTAGGTAACGTGGTGAAAACATCTCTCTTTTCTGAAAATCTTTACATTACCATGGTCATCTTGTTACCTACATGTAAGCAATAACACCTCTTTGGTTTTTGTTACTTTACAATAATACGGCTGAGATTATTGAACTAAGGGAACTGATAGTTTCTCACAGAGAATTAGCAGTTTCATACCTCTAAGGTTTGCTTTAAGGTTTGAGCCCAAAAGATTAGACTGTCTTATATTATTGTGCATACTGAGAGAAATTGTTAATAAATGCAGCACTGATTAGCCTTAATTAGCTTTTATAATTAACTCAACATTAACTTTGGTCTCTTCGAGAGGCATAAGCAAGATGCCCTAAATTATAGTGGTGCAGACTGTGTACATTTAATACAATCCTCTGAAAAGGGCATGTTAAGATGGCTTCATGCATTTAGCTACTAATTTAATATCTGGTTGTCAAAAAAATAGATTGACAGATTAAATACCAATTAAGCAAGACTAATGGAATAATAAATACTGCACTGTCGTTCCCTTCTCAGAAAAAGGATTTGTGGGAATGGGTGGATTACAGAAAGGACATAAGACATAGGTCAGGGCAGAAGAAAGTTGTTAACAAAGATTAAAATAAACAGGAAATGAAAAAAAGGATACCATCTATATGTCACTGACAGTACAGAGTAGGTCTTCCAGGCCGGTTGAAATTTCAAGCAAAATAAATAATATCAAATGTCGCTTTCTATTTGGACGCATTGACTGCTATAAATTATAACATTAATTAAAAAATTACTTGACAGAATACAAACCATGAAAAAAAACTTTTTAGTCGCAATTCAATTTTGACTGGGTCTTGGTAAAATCTAAGTTAATCAGGTTAGTGCAACTTAGTAAAGCTCATCGTGATTGCAAAAATAAGAGAGAGAGAAAACCATACTTTCAGTCCTCTGAATGAGCGGTGAATTATCCTCCTCGTCTGTTGACAACATCTAGACGAATAAAAGCTGTTCCACAAAGTATTTTACTAATACTTAGTGGACCGGCGTACGTGAGAAGATAAGGAAACGAGAAACTGACATGAAATAAAGGAAGTAACAGTAAAACGTGACAGGCGTTACATGTTGAAACGTGAGAAGTGGTTCCCAGTTTCCTTGCGAGGGATCCTGCAATCTGTTCTCAGAGATAGTTCCTGCAAAATTCCTGCCCTCTCAATGGCTGGTAGCACGTCAAATAATCCTAAACAGGGAGGCGAACTGAATCACACGTGGAAAATTTCCACAATCGTCTTCGTTGAAAGACATCTCATTCAGTCTCAGTATTCTTTGCCAGTGAAGACTATAAATTAGACCATTGAGTCAAAAGGCGGAAATGTGTCTGAAGGCTTCGCCCCATTGCAAGTTTGCCACCTACCACCTTCACGAGTTCGCCCCCCGCAGTAAAACAGGTTCGCCTCCACTTTTGCCCGTTCGCATCCAAAATCTTTCAGCGTACGCGAAAAACCAAATGCGCTTGCATGACGTGACGCAAAGACTGTGCACACCGAATTTCAAGAATCGCTCCTGATAGCAGTTTGAGATTTCAGAAACTAAACTAACAACATTTACAATATAGAGTACTGTCCTTACTTTACCGGGAAATGATATCCTTAAAAGTCAAAGCTTGAAGCGTGCACATTCTCCTTCATGGCATTGAGGGCAGTTTTTCTCGCGCGCTCGTGCTTGAAGTTTTAACTTCAAGCACGAGCGCGCGAGAAAAAAAGTCCTTTTGATGATACACATGCATTCGATTGAAACGTCAACGTCTGGTTCGTTTCAGTTGAGATTTTGCCTGGGTTTGCAGATAGAGAGGTAGAGTTCTAACAGAATTGAAATGCGAATCGTTTTCATTTGGAGCGAGCTTTTATGCCTTGTTCTGTTTGCTTCTTTCCCTGGCGTAGGGACGGGTGAGTAAAGTTTTCTCTTTTCTCTTACTGTTAAGTTCTGAAATGAAAGAAAAACTGAACCAGCCTTCGAATTAGATAAGTCAAGTCAGTAGTCAATAAGAGAACTAACAACCTCTATTTATTATCACGTCAGTTTTGAAATCTTTTTTAACAATCATGTTAATCACTAATTTTCGCTAAAAAAATACTGTGACTGGTAGTGTTAGAGGTTTTTGCCCCCTTCCCAAGTTTGACCTCCACCCACTCTATTTCTTTCTCCTAAGGAATTCAAGAACATCCAGGAGGATTTGGAGGACTCATGATGGAGAGCCTGATCCAACTCTTCTGGATATCTTTGGTGGGTTTATTAATTTGGCTATTATGAGAAAAAAGTTTTTAGATAGGTCAAAACACAATTCAAAAACGATTTTCTTGGTTTAGATTGTTCCAATGTGAAACTCTTGTTTACAATGGAGCTGCTATGCGACCTGACGTGAATTCATGCGTCAACAGCATCAGAATTTTCGCCACATCCAATAACTACATGTGAACGACAGGAAACTTGCTAAAGGAACGGAATTTCCTTCAAGCCTCATTACTTAGTCATCTACCAAAGCAAATAAAGTTCTTCCCTAACGAGTTTAAATTTCCCGGCTCGCTGCGAAAAACTTGTTTGTCAGTTATTGGATGGGGTAACTCAGTTATAATAACCTATAAAAAAAAGTCAAGAGAAAACTGAATTTGTCGATGAATATGGAAGCCTGGTGGTACAATTCCTCGATATAAAAAAAAAACGTTACCGAAATCCATGTCGACTTTTTCTTTTTATTCTATATAGAAAACTACGTATTTGTGGCTCACAGATCAAACAAGTGATGTATATGATCTGATTGACTGGGCTTTTGACTGCATCTTGGACGAGGAAATCAGTGGAATACAAGGTTGGTACAATACGGGAAGACTCTTGGGGCTTAAGGAAGTACAGGCATCGTCGGCAAGAAAGTTCGAATGTCACAAAACCTCTTCTGTTATAAATATTTGTTAAACTTGGGGCGATGATACCAAGGCTAGAATGCAATGATGACAATAATGTTCAACATAATGATGATGATGACGTCATAATGGAGGTCGTGTTGATGTTGACGGTGATACAAATACTTAACCTGTCATTTGATCCATCAACAGGTTTGAAACGGGAGGAACTGCGTCGACAGCGCTCGAACACAATTAGTAACATTTTGGTGATAATTTTGATGTCAGCTGTAAGTCTGAAGATGTTCCGAAGCTCTATCAAGAAAAGCTTCTATGAGTAAGTGCACCGGCAGATAACAGAAGTTGTAGAAGGCGTTGCCCCAATTTACACACCATTTGTCCTTTATCCAGTTCTCACCGTTTTAACTTGTCCCCTGTAATAGAAGATGCCCACTAGATTCGCATTAAGGGAACCGAATTCGCTCCCAATACGAAAACATGTTCTAACTTTTAATTTCAGTAGCGATCTGAGTTGGCAAGTCGGTGCGGACTCAGATGTTGCACGGTGAAAAACTTCAAGAGCTAGTAGCATAAGAGGAAATATTACAGCCGCTTTGCAAATGACGTTTAGGTTTGACAAAAAAAAATTCAAAATTAAACGAGGCCGAGCAGTTTTTATTGTGCAATACCTCTTTCAACAGTCTTCTGTCATCTTCAGTTGCAACAAAAACTTAAGTAAGGGAAAATCAACCAGAGGATGCGAGTAAGACGAAATTATGGAACATTATTCCGTAATCTGATTGGAAATTTGTTTCAAATCAGACGAAAATTTGCAACTGGTGAAGAAGTAAAGATGTCGAAATTTCTCTCACGTATTAAAAATGTTTTTTTGTAATTCCTTTTCTTTGGTTTCTAGTCTGAACACGAATCAGAATTTAAAAGTTGGAGATGGAATAAGATCTTTTACAAATTTCTGCTTGCTTTTCAATTTAATCGCAACTATTTGAACATTAGATCGGCTAAAAAAATTGAACACTTGGAGACTGATTATCGCTTAACTTCTGTTATGTTGAGGATAAAATGGAAGGCTAACAATAGTTCAAAGTGTGAGTAATTTTATTGATCAAGCATTTTCTCTTTTCGTCAGTGAGCTAAAACTGCGTAAAGGAAAATTACAAAAGGCAGATTTCTTGAGAGTTGGACGAAAAAATTTCAAGGGGAATTTAAACACAAGCAGCCACAACAATGGTGCGAGAAGAAGCGGTGTGAAAACAAAACATCGTTAACCTTTATTTACAGTGCAGGTCATTTTGATCTTTTTTTTTTTTTTTACATATTTCCATACTTAAGAGGGACATGTACTTGTAATGTATCAGTGTGGTATGTCAAGTACAATGAAATAAAACAATTTTGCCTTTGAAGTTTAGATCCGCTCCGTAAACTAACCATTAGATTACGAGCTAGAAATTTCTATCGCATAAATCTAGTAGTGTTCTATCTCAAATGCTGCAATCTGATTCACAACACCAAGCACTATCTATTTCATAATAGACAGTGAGTAAGTAAGAATTCTAACAGTGTGCGGTTAAAAAAAAAAAACAAAAATATGAACCTGTCTTGTTAAGTTTTCAAAACCTAATAAATTTATACTATAAAGTAGATTGTTTTCAATAGAAATTTTAAATCTCTATTATTTTAAATGTAAATTGATTACTCATTTAAAACTTATCAGTGAGAATGGCTTATATTTCCAGTTTAATTTGTTTTTGCAACCACATTGTCAGGCCACTCACTTAATCCTCTATCTAACACTGAATGGTTGCAAAAACAGCTTAGCCAATCAGATTGCAGTATTTATGATAGGACACCAGTATATCTATATCAAAGTATGTTGATTGCTCAGTATATCAGTTAATCAATTATTGATTTAAGGTTTAATATCATGACTGCCCAAAGCTCAATTCTTTAATCAGGATCTAACTGAGAAAACTCTCAAGAAATACTTTTTTCTAATACCACTTTGAAAGCTTTCACCTACTTTCCAATAAGTTCAGAATGTCAGCCTACACAACCAAACTATGGATGACATTCCATGTCTAACACAACAGAAAATGACAAATGAAAAACTTGTAAAACCATGAATATTTAACATCAATACCACTTTGAAAGCTTTCACCTATTTTCCAATAAGTTCAGAATGTCAGCCTACATGACCAAACTATGGATGACATTCCATGTCTAACACAACAGAAAATGACAAATGAAAAACTTGTAAAACCATGAATATTCAACATCAAAACATTCGCATAGTAGCCCCAACACATGTTATTTTGAATTAAACTATCAAGTTATGACAAAACAAACATGCCACCCTTAGCTAACTAGAGTAAAAGTTTATAATAAAGTTTGGACTATAATGCCAGATTACAGTCAAAGTTCAGTTCACAGCCTCATTTTCATCACTAGGAAGATTGCACCAATTCACAGGTCTCTTCCCTGATTTCTTCAAATATGCATTGGCTTGAGAGAAGTGTTTACAACCCAAGAACCCACGGTGGGCTGACAAAGGTGAAGGGTGAACAGCTTTCAACACATGATGCTTCTTCTGCAAGATAATCAGTCAAAAAGGAAAACAACTAAGAAGCCATGAGATTGAAAACAGTCCTTTTTAAATACTTTTTCATTTGCATTCTTCTTAGGAAGCTTGATGATGATACTCTATTTGAAATGGGTTTCAAATAGACCATTCATCAGGTGTCTGAACATGAATCAAATCCACATTAACCCTATGACCCCTATGATTGGCTACCATCTAATTTCTCATTACGATACCAACCCTAAATCACATAATCACAAAGGTCATAAGAATAATGGAAAAGATCTCCAACTAAAGGAGCTCCTGATTGTTAAACAAATTCTCCTTGTAACTACAACAAAAATGGAGAGAGAATAGAGTGGAGATTTTATAACTACTTATTTTAGGGTGTAAAGGGTTACTTTAGAAGTACTTATTCCATTGCCAGGAAGATGATTAATAGTGACAATGGACTTGAAATAGATTTTGAATTGACTGCCCGTATATACATGTACAATGTATTTGAAAATATCTCCAGTCTGTAAACCTTTCAGGTATTCTTCTAAAATTCAAATCAAATTCAAATAAACTAGTGCTTCTACTTACCGGACAAGCTGGAAAATAATGAAAATTTAAGCCCTATATAAATAGGAGTGACCCCAAAAATTTCTCCCAACCATAAGTGATATGAACAGAAGAAAATATTTTTATTTGCGAGAACCTATGAAATTGTACCTTGTCAATGAAGCTGCCTTTCTTCTGAGCATATGAGCCCCAAAGTAGGAAAACAACACCATGAAGATTTGTATTAATCCACCTTATTACAGCATCAGTAAATTTCTCCCATCCCTGTAAAGATCAAAGTATGATTAGATCCGGGCCAATGACTATGTTTGTTATGTTAACCAATAAAGGCTTGTGTGGTGACTGAAGTAATTGAAGTAATAGTAAGGAGGTAACAGCCTCCAACAGTAAAAGAAAGGAGTGAGAAACAGTGTAAATGACATGCAAATGAGAGTTTTCAATCTTTCAGGAAGTATCCCACCTATCTACACTCAAACTTGTGCAGGGTCAACGGAAACCTTACAGGGTGAGGGTGAAGAGAAATTCAGCCCATCCTACCAGAGCTTATCCCAGTTTCAGCCGCAAGAAGGAATTAGGGGTATTGCTCCCCCCAGGATAGAATTTCAGTCTTTTACAGGGTAATGCCTTGGCTTTTTGTCAAGTTTCTCGAACAGTTTGCTAAATCCACTTATCAACACTTTGGGGTGGGGAGAGACACTTTGTAAATGGCGAGAAGGGGGGGGAGAGTTAAATAAAGAGAAGTTTTAAAGGGAAGCTTGAAGTTAGGATGGGATTTTTTTGTTTAGATTGATGGGTTGGGCTACCACTATTGGACTATATTAATTAATATAGATTCCTGATTAATGTGGTCCTATAACTCAATAAAGATATATGTGTCATATCAAATAATAAATTTAAGGAAGGTATTTCATATAATGACCTTATCTTTGTGAGAGTTTGCCTGTGAAGCAACAACTGTCAAACAAGCATTTAGGAGCAGTACACCTATTGATAAAGAATAGAAAGACACATGATAAATACTATCAATAAGATTGTTTATCTCAACAAGACTCTTACATGCACATGGTGTAATGGCTCATAACCCATGATGGCTAAGCCAATGAAAACTATTGCATGATCCAGTCTGTACTAATACTAAGGTATTAGTAGAGGTCTTTCTGTGTTCTAGCAAAAATACTGGTATCTGATTGGCTCTGCCCCTTGCTTTCTATTTTGTGATAGATGATGAGTGACCTGGCAATGTGCAATTGTAAAAAATTACACAAGCCTGTCTTGTTAAGCCTTGTACAAAAGGTAGATTTTGTACAAAAACAATTCAATTATTGGCTCTTGATAACTATGCAAAATAGTAGATTCATCAAAATCTCATTGAAGAAATCTTGAGATAAGAATCTAATTGCTGAATATAAACATCATTGTCCAATCCTGTCTCACCAACATTAATTCTCTGTGGCTCAGTTGATGAGCATCTTATCAAGAGATCAGAACTGGCTGAGTTTAAAATGGCATCATGGGGAGACACAGGTCTTTCTCTATGCCATGTTTGTATGTTCATAATATTAATACACTTTTTATGAGCCAAACTCAACTCACCTTGTTTTGCCCAACCCAATAGATATCCATGTTTAGGTGGTTCAAAGCCCTCAATATCATTTTGCAACTCTTTGTATATATTTACCAGACTGTTGAATATAAAGGAAAAGGACATTACCTGTGATCTACATGGTCAAGTCTAAAATAAGTAATTTCTGCTTAAATATCAATTTTTCCCACCCACCTTGGTGGTATACCAACTCCAGGAGGAACACTGAAGCAAAGTCCTGAAAAAGGAGTCATTTTCAAGACCATTAAGGTAATTGTGGACAGACATCAATGACTAATAGTAAATCTTAATGGGCAGAAAATCATTCAACAGGTTATTTGAAACTTACCATGTGCCTGCCTTGGTCCATGATAAGGGTCCTGACCAATAATCACAACCTTAACCTGATGTACAAGAATATCACTGACTTAAGGATTTCAAAACAAGCCGGTGACCACCGTAGTTCTGCTGGCTATTTGATAATGTGTCGCTGGTTACTACTGTCAAAATAGTTACCTTTTGATCCTTTTTCACTGTCACCTACTTTTGCCAAATTTGATGCCTACATCAAAATATTTTGAAACCCCTGCTGAATTGTTTCAGGGACACTGCCGAGAGGGTTTGGGTATGAATGCGATCCTTTCTTTTAATAAAATAGTAGCATAACTTGGTTTGTCCCCCAAATACAAATATGTGGCTAAAGTTGATTCCTTGTCCATGTAGAATATCTGCTCACACCCTCACTCACAGCAAATAGAAACAATAAAAGGAAAAGTCCCTTTAAAACTCTCTTTACATTTGTACAATTGGTTTAGCTTTTATATCCCTTTAGAATCATTTCTTTGATTCTTAGCAGTAACTTGTAACTGTAACTGCCTAAATATGGGGACAGGATGCTAAGATACGTTTTTTCCACAGTGTTTGCCAAATTGTCTCGGTAGTTCAATTGCATCTGTTCCTATTTCTTGATTAATGAGGAAATGCAGCATACACAGAATGAAATGTTCTCCACATCTTGATGACCCTAGCCACAGTTTCATGTGGTAATCGTTATGATTGTCCTTAATTTAGACATAATCAAGAATGATCATTTGTGGTAAATCAAATCTCAAAAATTACCTCATGGATGTTACACTGAAGAGTCCAACTAAACACATCCTTTTCTATTTTCAGTAAACAAAAACAAAGTTAGCTTGAGGTATCAGTAAAACTGCATCACTTGCTTCCTAACAATCTTGGCCCAGCATAAAGGCATTGACAAAGGTAGTTCTTGAAGGAGATGGATTTCATCAGTAAATATCCTTACAAGAAATGCCAGCTCTAAAAGTAAAGTCTCTTAAAGCATAAAAATGTCACCTTGAAGATGTCAGCCTAAAACCATTTGGACATAATTGTCATTTTTTTTTTTCTAATCAAATCCAGACTAATTGGTAAAATATCCAAATCACATCTTAGGTATTAAAAAAAAATTTCAACCACAACCCAGCACCCCTCTCAGAATTACTGATTATTCTTTTAAAATGTCTGTGATTACATAAGGATAGTACGTGTGTTTTTAAAATTCTCCTGTAAGCTTGGCTATCCTACAAGTACAAAACAAAAAATGCTCTTAAAAATAATTGAACACTTATTAATCAAAACATCAAATAAACAAAAACACTCAGGAGGAATGGGGATGTAATTTACGTACCTGGAGGATAGACCGTCTTGCGTGATCTCTCTTCTTTAACAAAATTCATAAGCTATTGACATAATAATTCAACATTAATTATTATTACCCTTTCAAGTCATAAATTTGTGGAAATAGATTAATCGATTCAATGCACACGTACTTTCTGGAAATATTCCTTGGTAAATTCCGCTGCCAAAGCTTTCTTCCACGAAGGTCCGAAGAACTGTGGACTCTTATTCGCGAGCAGTTTCTTCTGTGCCTCCTTTCGATTAGCTTCGATGCGAGCTCTTTGCTCTGGTGAGAGATTTACAGCCAGCCGCTTCGGGTTAAGAGGCGGCGAATTCGCATTTTCGTCTGTGCCTGCATCCTCATCTTCTGCCCTTCTTTTGATTCCAGTGCTAGAAGGACTGAAAAAGCTGGAAATCGTCTTCTGAGTTTGCATTCTTCTTTTATTCTTGTCCCAAACTACAATGTCGAATCTTTAATCGCGAATTAATCTGACTGATGGCAATACAGCAGAGCCTTGTTATTTTCCCGCCAAAATCATCTAATTTAGCAGCCAATCAAAGTACAGTTGGTGAGAGACCTGGAACCAAGAGTGTAAAGGCAATCCGCCATATTGGAATCACTAGTACGGGCTTGTGAAATGTTCCGAATCAAAAGTACAAGAGGGTCATTATTGCAATCGTTTGTAAACTTATCTCGACTAACATCCTCGAAGGTTTGTACTGTGGTGTTGCTTTTGTGATTGTAAGGTTAAAGAAGAACACACAAGGTGATTCTGCACCTGTATGATATGGAGAAATACTAGATCAACTTACTCGTGCTTTCTCCAACATGCTTTGTACATGTACCGCATATTGGCTTTTTGTAGGGTCGTTTGTCTTCAGCAAACAAATACTTTCATGCACAACTAAGAAGATGTGAATCAACTACAGCAGGGTCCCCAAGGTAAGTGTGGTAGAACAGTCCACAGTATCGAATTAAGCTTTTTAAGTAATTTCAACGTGAAGTTTTGATCTATTGGTGGGGAATTATAATGGCGATAAATTCCACCACATTTTATATTTGCTTGGACAGTATTTACTGTATTTACCCTATTCAGAACATGTTAGGCAAAGACTGTAAATGTTCCCTTACTATGATGAGCTGATACTCTGTCAGAGAGGTAGAGTGTGGGGGTTGTTAATCATTGTGCCAACTGCTTAGTAGTTAAAATTGAAATTTTCCTAATTTTTTAGAGAGAGCTTTTAAAAAATTGGCAGAATTGTGGAATAGTGTAGCATTTTGAAGTACAATTTCTCTATAAGCTAGATTCCGAATTCCATTTCCTGGGCAGCCCCTATAATTACCAACCCTAAACATATAAAAGTCTTTCCCAGGTGTGCAGCCAGACATGGTACTAGCTGCAGGATGACCTACTAAGGAATTCCATTTCAGCACTTGAAAAAAAAAAAAAATAACCCTCCTCTGGAACAAGTAGATTTTCAACTCAAAAACGAAACTTTCTCTGCCCACTTGCCTACCTTCAATCGAGTATTTAGTGTTTCACAAAAATTTGTCAAATTTCATTCTTTACTAGCAAGCACTTATAGATGTGTTGCCTTTTCATTCTCCACCAAACCCTCTATTTTCATTTTTGAATAAGATAGGAGCTGAGGGAGCTTTGAACTTTTGTGTTAAGTTTGCTCAAACTAAATGTAGTAATAGACACCACATGTGGTTGGGAAATTACTTCTAATTACACTTAATTATGTTAGTTTACCTCTACCTTTTTTTAATTTTTCATTCTACAATTTGCTACACTTTTTATGTAGGTCAACCAAAGGCCTACCAGCTTGGAAAATAGCAGCAGGAGTAGCCTTAGCCAGTAGTGGAGGTGTGGTTGGAGCAGCTCTAGCCTTTCATTACAGCGCAGATGTCCGCACATGGTGGGCCACAAATTTTCCATATCTTGCACCTTATTTGGGTACCTTGGGTGAGTCCTTAACAGGGAACAAAACGTCTCCAATTCTTGGTGGGAAAGTAAACAATACTTCAAGAGACCCAACAAAGCCTCATTCTTTCGATGAACCATTGAATCTTGGTGTTTCAACACATAAAGCTCCCCAAAAGGTAAGAAATATTATCTTAATTGTTCAAAGGATTCAAGCTATCTTTTTCCACCACCTAATCCTCCATATAGATAAATGATTCCTTGAAAGGTTGGCTATATGAAATCATGAAAATTGGCAGCTTTATCCAGACAATTGTTCTATGTCTATTAAACTTTTTATTAGCATGTAGCAACAACATTGTTATGGTGCAATCCATATACAGTGTATACTTCAGCATTGTGTGCAGATCTCTAGACTTGAAGCACTATTCTAATTAAGTGCTGGTAACTCTATGTTTACTAGGATGCTGATCCTTCATCAAGAAAACCTGTGAAGCCTTTGGCTGGGAGTAAGGAACCAGTGGCATCTGTTTCATCAGTTGATCAAACAGGCATTTCTGCTGTCGATCTTGCAATTGCCAGAACAGTTGAAAGGGAAGTAAAAGAGAGTGCTAACTCAATAGAACCTAAGCCTGATGCCCCTCAGAATACAGTTAGTAAACCACCAAAGCCTGGAGGTAGAGGAAAAGCAGAGTCACCAACAGCTGCTGTGTCAGCTCTAGATCAAGTGGGTGTTTCTTCTGTGGACCTTGATATCTCGTCTGCTGTGGAAAAGGAGGCTGAGCCTGCTACCACAGCCAAGGTACCAGAAGGTATAGGGAAACCAGCTAAGAAAGGAGAAGATACTGGATCTCATGAAATCAAAGGTACAAAAATTGACTACAAGAATTACATGTATGATCTTCTTCAATGATGATTACAGGGGGTATCTTAATACACACACATTTTTAAACTGAAACACTGCAATTGTTGTTGTGCTTTGGTTCAAAAATGTCTGTATATCAAGAAAAGTCATTAATTTTGGTACCATGGAACTCTATGTGTAACAAACCACTATTACATCATACACAGTATGTGAACAGGTTCTCATTATTTCCTGGGATCTTAAAAATTATATTAGGAACACAACCATCAGGATTGCACCAGAGTTTGATGAGATATGAAACATTATGCAAGTTTTAGATACATGTACATGTATGCTTCTTGAAATCCTCAGATAGTCATCCCTTGGAAGGAAACATCTATAAATGTTGTTTACAGCCTCTGCTTTTTCAGATAGTGCATACATACATGTAGGCAACAATCAGATGTGATTGCTTTTTGTAATGTTACATCTCTATGCAAACAGTTACAACAATTGTTTATTAATTGACAAAACTAATCTTAACTTTTCATCAGTGGCACAGTTGATGTCCATCCTAAATTTTCCAAACCTAATATATCCACAAACAAAAAGAGTACTTAACCATTGATTAATTAAGGTATCTGTGATCACCAGTCTAAAATATTTGGGTAGGGAGGACTCTCAATTGGGTGCTTAATTTAATGCTTGCCCAGTAGGGGAGTACTGTACTTAATTGAAGGAATGCCTTTTGATGGAAGGTGCAAAGTCAAGGATTTACATTATATGTTTTTAAACTTGTTTAGGGTTAGGTTTATCAACCAGTACAATAAGGGATGTAAACTTTTGAGGTTTTGTGGAGTGGTATCATTTGTAGTGGTAATGAACTGAGTGGAGTTCAATTAAGTCTGTAAATCATACATATGAGTATGATTTCACACAATTGGATTATGTGAGGTCCTGTTACCAATTGATCAAAGCTATGACAAATTTTCAGAAATATACTAGCCATCAGGTATACATTTTCATGGGGAAAAAAACATTTAACTCTGCAAAATGCAGAGCAGCAGCATGCACAAATGACACTTACTGTCCAATTACACAGTCCAATAACAAACATAGCATACACTGACCTATTAGTGCTTAAATTGGGCTGCTGATAACCTTTCATGTCTGAGAATTATAGTCTTGATTAACACTAACTGTGGTGTCTTGCTCTTATCAAAAGAGGGTGTTTCTCTCTGGAGAAACAGTTTACTTACAATGTTTATTTGTGAAGGTACATATGGTATCCCATCACCATTACTCTATTTATGTAGATGTGGACACAAGTCTTACTGAGAAGGAAGTTGAAGCCCTCATAGATCAGACTGCCATGGAAGCTATGGTTCATGATGCAGTGGAAAAGTTAAAGGCTATTGGTCAAGAAGCTATAGAGGCTCAGCAAACAGCTGGCAAAGCCATACAGGAACATGTTGAACAGCTCAAGAGTGCACTTGCTCAATCCCTTGAGGGTAGAACTCTTAAGGATCTTAGTGAATTGGTACTAAATTCTCAAAAGGCAGCCATTGACAGTGTTAATGCTGCCAAAACTGCACAGGTGATTAGTTTTAAGATAATGGTTTATGTTACTTTCCACAACCTTTTTACTTTCAAGATCTCAAGTTCATTTCTCGGTACCATCTGCTGTATCTTTCCTATGATTTTCAGCTATAAGAATTTGGTATTCAGTCAAACAAGTTTCTTAGATGATGGTCTTCTCTCTTCTCATAACCCCTCCACATGGCAATGTATTGATATTGTGATGAGAAATTACTTAGCCATCACTCCTGGAAGTAAAAGGGTTAAAAGACTCCATCTTTGACACTATTCTTCATTTTTGGTGACTTTTGAATGTGAAAGTTACAAAATTGGCTGCTTGACAGAGATTGTTAAATCAATTATTTGTGTCATTTTGGTGATGTATAAAGAGGTCAATAAAAACAGATTTGAACAAAGCAATCACTGAAATTTGCAGGGGTGAACAAATATTTTGGAAGGAAAGAATAAGGAAAGCTTATGATGAAGATTGACAGAGTGTAGATGACAATCTTGATAAAAACAGGCAAATTTTCTTAAGTGCACAAATTTCTATAATGCTCCTTTGAAGTCTCCAAATTTAATGTTTTTTTTTTCTTGCCTGCTTGCTTTGCACTCCTTTGCTCTGTGATGTAAAAAATGACAGGGTGGTGGACAGGTTATTCGTGATTTACACCAAGTAAAACCTTTTTCGAAAACAAGCCTTTCTTTCTTTGGTAGGTAAAAGTAAATGAAGAAGTAGAAAAGGTTCATTCCATTATCAAAGAAGCAGATGTTGCTGGGGTTAAAGGAGCAGGAACTACTGCATCAGAAGAGGCAGCGAGGGTAAGTTACAGTGTGCAGAAAGCAGCGTTAGACGTGCAGAAGGCCAAGGCCGAGGCAGCAGTGCTGGAGGAACATCAGAAAGACTTGGCCAAAAGTAAAGATATGTTCAGGAAGGAGCTACTGGATATAATACCTGGTGCTCTGAAAGGAGAAGCTTTGGAAGGTGTTGGGGAGAAAGATGATAGGTAAGGTGTTCATGATACTGGTCCACTCTTTACTTCGTACATTTGCTTCCTGTCTTTATTTATATGAGGGTCATTCTGTTATTATTCAAGTTCTTTTAGGTAAATCAAGTTCTCTTGAGTGCTACTTAGACTAAAGTTTGGCCAAAGCGTCTCCTACCTTATAGTCTAAAGCCGTTTCTTTTTCGCTTTTTAGGTCCGAGTCGGTTCTTTTGGCATATGCTCGGAAAAGACTTGATCAGCTAACACAGGAGCTTGTCAGTTACCAGACTGAGGAACAAAAGAGGCTCGAGAACTCCCTTAAAATCCAACGAGAAGAGGACGCCAAGGTGACTGAACTTAGACTGAAACAAGAAGCCGAGAGAATGGTATCCGAATTTGAAACCACTCTGAAGAGGAAGGTAAGTACCTTGTAATGATTTTAGTGAAACCCGGTGAAGTGTTTTCCAGGTGGGAGGATTTGGAGTTTATTATGTTAGTACTGATATGACCAGAGCAATTTTAAGTCCATGTTCATGTAAGTTAATGCTCGAAGTAATCCGGAATTGCATAAGTTTGCTTTGCTTCGTTCACTGCTTACTGCTGAACACTCGCGGCACCCTTTCAACCAATTAGATGCAAAACAACTCACTACTAAGAAGGTCTCTCCCGTTTTCTTGCGTTTGAACCCTTAAAATCCTAACATCAGTATGCATATTCTTCAAGCTGTTTCTATACGTTTCCTAAGGTGCTTATATAGACAATTTGCTCAACAATCGAGTTTCTTTGGTTGATGATCATTTGCTTTATTCCCGTGGCATTAATGTCTGATTTAGAGGTGATTTGGTAAGGAGAAATTGGTCATTCTTTGGGGTTAATGGGTCAAGGTAATTTGCAATTTTTCACTTTGAGTTTTCAATGACCTGTGGTAACGTTTTTCCAGTCTCGCTTAGCTAGTATGGTAATTTTGTTTTTTTGCTTTACGACGCCCACTCGAAATGCGCATTTCACTGAAGAAAATTAAAAAAAAACCCTGGTGGTTCAAGCTTGAGAAGGCGCGCTTTTCACTAAAGAAATTAAAAAAAAAACCCTGGTTGTTCAAGCTTGAGAAGGCGCGCTTTTTATTTGATATAGGCTTAACCCTTTAATCCCTGAGGGTGATTAGCATCTAATTTCTCCTTTCAATATCACACCTGAATCAAACATTAAGGTCATGAGAATAAATGAAATTATAATCATCTAAGGAACCTCTTGATTGTTAAACAAATTCTCCTTGCATGCATATAAGGAAATGTATAGAGAACAGTATGGAGAATATGCATACTGATGTTAGGGTGTAAAGGGTTAAAGTACGATTACTTAGTCAAGTGGCAATGTGATTGTTAGCCCTTGTTTCTCTTAGGAAGCAGAGCTTTCAGCAGAACACGAGGTGAGCCTCCGACAGCAATTACGTCGCCAGGCGGCAGCATACAGTGATAACTTGGCTGAGGTTCTCCGTGTTCAGGCTACGGAACTAGAAAACAGGTTGGTTTTGCGAGAACGAGCTTCCTCAGCACATCTTCTGTCAACGGTTTTGAGTGTTCATCTTTTATCCTTTATCCTTAAATGGGCTGTTTAATTTAGAACGCTTGAATTACATCTCTCGCCCCTCCCCTCCCCGCCCCCCGCCCTAGACTTTATGTATGCACATATTACGGGCTTCATTTACACTTACCCTTTCTAATGTAATAATGGCATTTTCTCAGGTATAAGGACGACTTGCAACAAAAAATGGCCGTAGAAAAAGAGGCTTTTAAAGTGCAGTTAGCTGGGGCTCTTGCTCAGTTACGAGGTGTGGCATCAGTGATAGAGGGCAGAGCAGATGTTGAGAAACAAAATAAGCAGGCGCAAAAGCTCTGGACAGCGTGTCAATCGTTGACTACAGCTATCGACAAAGGTGCTAATCAACCAAAACCGCTGCTGCCTCAGTTGACGGCCATTCACGATGCTGCAGCAGAGGATCCACTGGTCTCACAAGTTCTTAACTCTCTACCAGAAGAGGTTGTGTTAAGAGGAGTTTTGAACGAAGAGAATGTGACGCGTCGCTTTTACAAGATCCGCAGATGGTGTCGAAGAGTAGCCATGATAGGAGAGAACGGAGCTTCACCATGGACTCACGTGCTGTCATACATTCAGTCTTTCCTAATTTTCGATTCATTTGATCCCGTAAAGCAGGGAGAACTCGTAGATTTAGACAATTTGGACACTTTTGATCTCCTAGCGCGCGCAGAGTACTACCTTCGGCATGGAGATCTGGAGCTAGCGACGCGATTGGTAAATCAGCTTCGTGGGGAGCCTAAAAATGTAGCGCGCGATTGGTTGCTGGAAGCTCGGTTGCTTTTGGAGACGAGGCAGGCTGCCAACTTGTTGACTGCTTATGCTGCTGTATTGGGAACAGCAGGGCTGGTTAATTAGATCTTAGAAGTACATTTATTTTTAAGGGACAATACAAATGAGTTGTCGTCAATAAGTAATGATTCCCTTCCAACTAATGATTCATTACCAACTCACGTCTTGAACTTCACCTTCTACTGCTTCTTTTTAAAATACGATTGGTGAAACAACACAGAGAAAGGGTAAGAAAGGAAAGAAGATTAAAAATGAATTTTTAAAGTCAGCCAGTCTACAAATTTGTGATATCCGTGTAGAGTGAGTTCAGTGATGTTTCCTTTCATCCAAGTTTTGACCTAACATAATAGCAAGCAGAAAACTAAAACTAATATGTTTTCGTCAGGCTGTAATTCTTTGTTGCATTAATGTTATCGGTAAATCCATGAAATTAACATCTACTTGGTTTACAATTTTAGAGTTAAAAGAGTCAATGGTTTTTATTTTGTTCCAGTTCGTTTATACGAACGCTGACTATAAGCTTCAAGGTCGTCAATTCACCCCAAAATCGTCAGTGCTTTGAGACTCGGCTGTAGTAATTGACACCGGTGATAAATACCACGCTGTCCGGTTTAGAATCAGCAGTAGCGTTGTTAAGTTCGCAAATCAGCGAAGCACGGAATGTCTGCTGTGTGTTCCTCGCTTTCTTTGCACTGACCTTTTCTGACCACATGTTAATGGATGAGCATTGTGGTAATCTTTGGCAGTAAAGAGCGCAATCAATTTCTGAGGAGACCATCAGCTCCTTTATTTGATGGTTGATTAACGCCATGTCTTTCTTGTTGTCGGCCATGCTGCTCATAGCATGTGGAGTTTCACAGAGTTTCGTCTGCGGGGATTGTACATATTGTTGACAATATTCTATTGAGTGCGTACAATTAAACTCTCGCTGTTGAAAGCCAACGCCATATGATGCTGAGCATGCACTCCATTGAGACCAATGTCCCAATTCGAGCGAGACAGAATCAGCTACAGCTGTAAAGTATCTTTCTGTATCTAAGAAGAGTCGAGATTGAGTTCAGAAATTATGGTTAGGCAGATTTTGTTTCACGGAACTAAAAGTGCAAACTTTATAGTGGAATACTTGTTAGGTCCGGAAAGTAATTTTATGTATTTTTACTCGCCCTGTTGACATATTTTACCAGCTGACTAGCAATTCTTTCACAAGTAGTAGAAGAAGCTGACACTTCTTATTCTGTGATACGTTTCCATTTGGGTCCGAGCTAGGAAAGTCACTTTTAGACTTGTTCAATAGAAATTTCCTTGGGTTCACTTACTTTGTAAACGGCTGTGAGTAACAAAAATATTCGATGGAGACTGGAAAGCCCGAGTATAAGCACAAATCCGAATGCCTAGTATCCCCCATCTATTTTGTTCTGAGAAACTGCGGTTCAGGGATAGGAGGAAAATAAAGACAAAGCAAAACAAAAAAAAGAAAAAAAGTAGAGGAAATTAGCTTACTCATTCTCCATTGTCCAACAGTGCTTCTAATTTCCCACAGAAGGGATAGAAATATGAAATCCAGTTTGTTTAATTTCATTTCGCCAATGACAACTATTCGTGTTCACAAGTCAATATCTCTTTTTGATCAGTTGTGTGCAATCGTCTGCAGGAGGACAATTTGGTTCCTGCCTCTGTGTGTCCGTTATTTATTATCCGCACATTTCTTAAGTGCATCGTCGCCAATTAGCTTTGAAAGGAACATGCATATTTCAACGATACGTCAATTTCCGTAATGCTAAGTTTACGGTGCTGTGCGAAAAACGGAACTGAGCACTAAAAGGCAAAATGACAGGAATTTTTGTATAGAGGAAAGCAAACTTAACGTTAAAAAAATTCTTTCGGTCAACACAAATTAAACGGTTTTTTTTCTACATCGCGAGAGGACATAATTACTTAGTGTAGAAAAGCGGTCAAAAAGGGTATTTTTTGAAATTTTATCTTGGTCGTACATTGTAAAACGTATTTCTCCTAATTACAACAATAATTAGTTAATATAATTTGCTGCACTTGAATTTGTACATTTGAGCCGACAATGGTGAGTTGTGGTGTAATCGGCCCCGTGGAGGTGCCCGACTATTTACCTGCAAGTTCACTAATGCAATAAGTATCCTGAAACTTAGAGACTTAACAAGACCGGATGCAAATTAAGCAAATTCAATTTTGATAGTTTTTCTGACCTAAATTTTCTGAGTTGTTTTTTCTTTTTTTATGTGACTCTAGTTTCAGAAGTATCTGCGCGAAGTAAAAATCCTAGACCAAATATACATCGGAGGTCAACAAAGACATCATGCGCTCCGATTACGTTCTAAAGCAAAAATATACAAAATCTCTTTGAAGAAAGAAAACCTCTTTTAATTCCGACAATCTTTCTTGTCGATTTTTACACAGCAGTTAACTTTAAGGTCCACCTGGTATAGCCTTTACTCAGATATCACCTTTGGTTACCGTCGGGATTTCCTTCGGATTACTCTCGAATTAACTTCAGATAACTTCGGGAATAGCTTCGGGGTAAGCTTTGGATTAACCTCGGCATTATTCGGGATCAATTTCAACATTAACTACGAACAAAGTAGGATCCAGTAGCGTTACCTCCTCTCGGTAAGATCTACGAATTAACATCGAAGTTTCCTCAAAAGCCACTTAAACCAAATAGGTTAAAGTACCACTAAGTTAGTGTTTCAGTTCCGTGAAATAGTGGAATAGTGCTTGAGACCACAAATGTTCACGAAATTCTCCATGTTAGAATCCGCGGAAGCATTGTTGAGCTGGCAAATCAGTGAGGGACGTGTTGTCCCATGGTTTGCCAAATAACTGTGCACTCCAGTATTGATAAGTACAAACAGGAATGATCTCAGTCAAGAGAGAGCACATTCTGTTGTTGAAGAAACCTTTATTTCTTTGATTTTGTGGTTTATTTACACCAAATTACATCGGGGCGGGGCAAAAAAAAGAAACAACAAAACATTTTTTCAAGATGATGACTGGAAAAAAAGCGACATGTGGAACTCGAACATGTCATTCCGCTGAAACGATGAAACGGCAAAAATATCATGCCAGGTCCTTATGGTGCACACTAGTTCCTTAGGGGTGTTGGCACCAGGTCTCTCTGCCCGAACAAATAATAAAAAAAAGTGAAAACCAGCCGCTTCCCTACTCCTAAGGACACCTTTTGTTTAGTTCATTCAAAAGAAGTTCCTTTTTAAGCTCTAATTATACGTGAAATCTTTTGATCAGGTATATAGAGGAGCCATTTAAAAACATTTTGAGAACAGACACACCCGAGATTTTTCATCAATTTGGTGAAAGGGTTACAAGGAACGTATACATAAGAGGTTCCTGTTTAAAAAGGTTTTCGAAAGGCTAACGGGGTATTACTTGAGGAGATCTTTCTTGAGTAAACCCTGGAGAGTACCCCCTCCTCCCCTCACCCTTCCCCGTTGTTAAGATAGCAGTCACGCTGGCTTAGTGTCTTTTTTGTTGACTGAATACGTGATGGCCCTTGCTTTCATAATTTTTTTAAAGGGGGGTGATACGAGGGTAGGATAAACCCCACATTTTTAACCATTTCATCATTTCATCACAGTATTTTGCCGCCAATGATCCACAAGTGTAAGTCTCTTCCGTTTAAATAAACATTAAGAAGGAAAATTTATCCTGCTTCCCCCTTATGTTCTCTTGTTTCTATGCAACACAGCAACGTACACAAATGAAAAAAGTAGGTTATTTCGACGACTGCCTCGGACGGAGTGTGAGGTAAATTTTATAAGATTTATTCTAGATGCTTATCAATCCTTAGTCAATGGATTTTTTACTTCAATCCGCTATTTTACTAGATTGCGCCACCTTCTCAACCAATCAGATGCAAAGCGAAACCAATCGTTTCTAATTGATCAATCGAATTTCATAAGGTTGATTGTAAATTAAAAAAAAGACTCTTCACACAAGCAATGTAATTAATGGACTGCAGCTGATTGTTAAATATGAAACATTAAAAATGTTATCCGAACATGATATTATTTTGCGTTTGTTTGGGGACAGACAAGCAAAATGAACGTTGTCGGGAGCCTATCACTCTTACCTTCAACTCAGTTTTGCGTTTGTCAGTCAAAAGCGTATTAAGATTCCTCGTACAAGTTGGTGTCACGATTTTAACAGTTCCTACATTTACAGCTATTTATTGATTCACGGCTGTGACACTGCTTGGAAGTTTTAGGTTTACGGATTATTTGCACTTAAATCAAGACTGGCATGACGACAGTACAACAAACTATTAGCCAAAATTTATACGCTCATAGTTTTATTTGTTGCAGGGATCCAAATCCCGTAAGCAACAGTAGAGGTTTGACATTCTTTGTGTTCGCCTGTAGGTGTTTTAAATCATTCCTTTATGAAAATAGATAGCTCATCTTAGCTGTTTTGACTGAACCGGGAGGAGAAACAGTTACTTTAAACTTGGTTGTTCAAGACATGTCTTCGATAACACAGCCGGTTGATGTTTTATAATATGCGAATTTGTTTGGTGGCTTTGAGGTCAGATTTACATCAGCCACATTTCGATTAACCGGTACTTAAGTTACCAATTGAAAAACAAATGACCGATGTTAGGCTTACCGGCTTTGGCTTCCTAAACTTCCAGTTTAATTTACTCAATGTGAAAAAAAATTGCTTGCATTGAGTTTTGGAGCTCTCTGAATCGATGGAACTAACTACAGATATTTCAAAAGGTTTTCGTAGCGAGAAACTTAAAAAAAAAATTGCGAAAAACACTGAGACGTCTTTAGATTAGCTTACCTCTCTGTCGAAATCCAAAAACGTTTTTTTGGAATGACTACAGGACGAATAGTAATATAAAACTCATTTAACTTATCTAACTTTACCCGAAAGACTTATTGTTCTCATCAAAAACCGACGCTTTAAAGAAGACATGTTCTCATTACGATTTCAGTGTGATCAGTTACACAGTTTGTTCTTCAGTTCTGGTTACAGTATATGTCCTTATTCTTTGGTGTCTGGCTCATATATCGTTTGATCTTTTGTTTTGTAAGTATCCTTAGCGGCACCTCTGAAGTCTGATAACATTTTAAAACAACGATAAGGATAAACCACTAACGTACACCTATATTAAATGTCATGATCAGTGATGGGAAAGTTCCTTTCTTGGTGAAAATCAAAGATCTATTTGGTACCCCTAAATTAAGTATTGGAGAGAGAGAGTACATAAGCCAGAAAATATTCCTTCATTGCAGACAATCTCCGCTTCAGTGGAACCTCCATCAGGAAACATCACATCCCCTAAATTGTTTGATTCACAAATAAATGTTGAATAATCATTCGTCAAGAGATTATATTCCAACGTAGAGAGAACCCTACAGCGGAAATAAAACACGAAAAAAAAACTAACAATTAAAAAAAATTTTTAAACGAGATAACAACGACGAAATTAGAAAAAGAAAAAGAAACAAATAAGCAAGAAAATCATAATAAAAAAGAAACAACTTTAACAATAAAAAGATCTACCACTAAGCAAAGAGTCACCGCCGTAAAAAAAAAAAAAAACATCAAATGGGACCTGTGTTGAAGTCCTAAATGTAATAAAGTCCTAAATGTAATAACATTTAGTCCTAAATGTAATAAAGTCCTAAATGTAATAACGTTCGGTCCTAAATGTAATAAGCCTCCAATGCAATCGTTTAACTGCGCTAGTGCACTGTTGTTATAGCAGACATCCACATTGAGATGTTAAAGTGACAGCTGTTGCACCAAAGAATCCTCTGACCAATATTCATGGCATATTGCGGACTCGCTGATGTTAATCAGCGTCATTTTATATGCTAAAGAAGTAGGTTGAGAAGCATTGGCTACAAAACCTTATACTGATGTGCTTTTGGCATCAAATTGACAGACGCAAAAACAATGAGAACGCTGACCAAGAGCTTTCTTTATATCATTGGCTCACTCTTAAGTGAAACAGGTTTTGACGATATATTTGTGTGATCTACCTTATGAACCGCGTTACAAGGAAAAGGTAGTCCACTGACCAGTACGTCTGACAAATTCCGGGCTCGGAAGTACATTTTTTGTACTGTCTTCCCTTGCCAGATTTGTATGGGTCTGCATGAAATATATTCCTATACTTTATTGACCAAGCGTGAGGTCAAATGGCTGGATATTGGCCGAATTTTTTTTTTGCGTTTTTAGGGACTGAGACGAAGTCTCGGTCCAAAAAAGAATAGAAAAAGAACGAGGCTAATATCCAGTCATCTTGACCGAACAAGCTTGGTCAATGCAAGAGGGTTTATATTCTCTTGGCTTAAACGTTAAAGGATTCAATGTATAGCAAAAGATTTCGCTTTGATAAGAATCCAGAATGACTTGTTTATTTCGAGAACCGAGAGTGAAAGCCAACTGTTTTTGTAGAACAATAAACCCAAGAAGGTCGTTTAATTTTTTTCTATGTATATGTCGACATTGTCCAAAATTTACGAACTTTGTGAGTTTTCTTGCGCGGTATCAATTCGGGGAATCTCGAACAGGCGAGGGAATCATCTTGCCCGCTCAGGTATCCAATCAGAACACAAGATTTACTTCATCTTGCCCGCGAGCGCTGCTAGCTATATGATAAAGTGATTTACAGAGCTAGAAATCTATTGACCAATCATATATTATCCTATTTCACGATCACAGGTCTCGACATGTGGCTTTTTTCCACACAAGAGTCAAATTGAACTCTTGAGCTGCAGCATTCGACACATGGTGGTCAGTTGATGGTCTAATGAACCATTCTTTTTTTTTCCTTTAGCCCCTTAAGACACATATCAAACTCATGGGGTACAAAAAGTCTTAACATGAATGTAGTGACCACGCCCACTTCAACACCCCACTCAAATCGAGTGTAATTTTCGAATGTTTTACCATCGTGCGGATTCTCTACGGAAAAAGCACTCAATGTACCTCTGAAATATTAAACTATAATATTGTGGCTTTCTATTTCGCTAATTTTCTAACTTGAAGGTAAAGTTTTTCCCTCGTCATTTTTACCTTTTCTCCGAGCGGTTGCGTGAAATTAACAAGGCGTTTTTGATCAAAACACGACCGAAGGGTCTCGGGCGATATCTCTTTTACGCAGGCGCAAATTAAAAAATGTACCGCCAGAATCAAAAAGAGGAACAAATTTCCTTTGTTTTGATATGTAAAGTGTCGAACAAAAAGCAGATTTGCCTTCGTCAAATGGCGTTTCAAAACAGCTGTATCTTCCTCCTTTTGATTTTTCCTGTTTTGTAAGCGTGAAAGCAGTAGGAGAGGGATCGGGAAACTCAGAAAGCGCTTCGGGAATTAATCTGCCATTGTTTACTTACGAGATAAACAAGTAAGATTTGTGAAGTTCGTTGAAGTATGAAGTCTAAATAAATGCCTTTTTAAAGCTTGTTTGCTGGATTTTTCCTAAACTTTCCTGATTAATTTTTCGTTTCAGCTTACTAGTCTATACTATTTCAAAGCAATGTCAAGACGAAGACGGAGAACCATGAGTCGGTCCTTTCAACAATCGTAAACAAAGTGTTTGGGCAATCAGGTATACGAGATGTAATAATCAATAGCCGCATATCTGAAGTCTTCGGAAAGAAAGTATTCTGTCTTCAGAAAGCTGTCAAGAAAGCTAATAATCGTGGCCGAAGGCAATTAAACGGGCCCTCGGTATCGATTTAATATCATATCGATCTCAATATTATACAGTTTTGTATCTTTCTTCCGTGGATTCGCCTTTCCAACGAGGGTGTATGTTGAGAATTCATTGCAAAATCGCTTTGTTTTTTTAATTTCCCTCTTTGACCTGTCCGCCATTTTGAAAATTCGTAACGGAGAGCATGCGCATTACGTGGGGTTAGTGGTTGCGTACACCTGGAACCGAGAAAAACAAATGTTCGTCGCACTGGGGAAAGAGTTTGATATGGTTCATCAGTTCCCGAATCGAAATATCGGGAAAAATATATATCGCAGTCAATCTCAAGTTTTTATTTCATTTTTGGTCTTCACCTCTTCTTCCCGTCGTGAGGGGAGAAAATGAATAGATAAATAAATAAATGAAAAAAAGAAAGCTCAACAGTTT